CCAGAGGAGGGTCAATGGTTTGGACATGTCCAGAGGAGAGACAGTGGGTATATTGGTAGAAAGATGTTATAAATGCAGCTGTCAGGAAAAAGACAAAGAGGACATATATGGATGCAGTTAGAGAGGACATGGATGGAGGAGGACTCGCTGTGGAGACATCTGAAGAGGGACCAGCCAGAAGAAGAAGAAGAAGAATAGAAAGAAGCATTTGAGACATTTAGCTAGCCGTTTGTTATGTTTAGCTTTCAGGTATCCTTCAGCCTTTTTAACATATAGCTAGCATCTTTTGCCTTTAAGTGAGACGAATGTTTAGCTTTTAGCTAGTCCTTTGTTTTTTTATTTATAGCTATCACTTTGAGACTTTTAGCAGGTAGCATTTTGCCTTTTTAGCTTTTAGCTAACATTTGCAACTTTAAGCTTTAAATTATACCTTTTTTTAAGCGTTCAGTTTTTATTACTTTACGTTTTTAGCTAATCTTTTCCTTGATTTTGATTTAGACTAGCATTTTGTTACTTTTAGGTAGTCTCGTGTGCAGCTTTTAAATAATCTTTGGGGTTTTAGCTTCTAGTTAACATTTTATTATCTAACCTTTTACTACTTTTACCTTCTAGTTTCTGTTCATTACTTTTAGTTAGTCTTTAGCTGCTTTTAGCTTGTGTTCTGCTTCTTTCCACTTTAACAACCTGATTTCAGCTTCTTCTGCATCGAGTACTCAGCATTCTTCTAGTTTTGTCTTGGTTGTTATGAGTTCTGGTTTTATTTTGGGATCAAACTGTTGCAGCGAGGCTTGTTGTGTGCGTGATGGTCATCTGCAACAGGAAGACTAATATTATCTTCTATGTCTTCCCACATGTCCACGTTTAAATACAAACAGTAAGAAGAGAGTTAAAACAAGGATGAGCTTTATGAGCTGTGATTTATCCATGTTGTTACACAAACTGTCCACATGATGGCACTAGACTCCACTCAGCTGCATCCCTGGAACAGCATGTTTAAAAGCTGCAGCCAACAAACCCTTGTTAGGTTTATGTGCCAGCAACACGTCAACATTTGGTTTATGTACAGTGCTGTGTGTCTGTGTCATTAAGACAAGGTCTATTCGGGTCTTACAGCCGGTTTTGCAGCTGGGGGTGGTGGTGTTTCTGCTGCTGCAGGAGGTGGTGCTGCTGTCTTCTCTGCTTCTGCAGGTTTCCCCATCCAGCTGTTCACACGTCCCGCCACGCTCCCTTTAACACCAACCACATCCTGGGAGGGAGGGAGACTCTTCAAATGCTCATCCAGCTCTCAGAAAGGCTTGCTCACCTTCTGCGTGTCTCCTCGCTCACCTTGCTTGCAGGAGCTGGACTCTCAGAGGAGCTGCTGAAGTTGCCTTTCTCCCACATGCTCTTGATGTTGCGTGTCCCTCCTGTAGGAATATCTGCCAACGGAGATTTGGGGGATTTTACTTCTTTGTTTCCCTGTGGAACAAAAATATGGATTTAGATTATTTTACAGGGGATTTACAGTTTGTCAGATTTGTCTTGTGGCCCTTTGGATGGAGCCGGAGCGGTCAAAAAGAACCTGAAGTAGTTTCCACCTACAGCTGGTGGGTCCATTAAAATGCCAACATAAGAATCACATACTGATTCTCACCTGGATGGCAGACGTGTACTGTTCGAATCTGTTGCCAACTTTGGCCAGAATTGGAGTATGTGACACTCTGGCTGCAGAGCTGCATGGACGAAAAGATTCTTGTGAGATTACAGATAAGCGTTAATTGTTTTTACTTTTCAAACATTGTTGGACCCACCTTTTCTGGGCTGATTTGCTCAGAAATTCTGCCTTTTCTCCGATCTGCAAGAGACAGCATTGTGTAATGTTAGCAGAGGCTGTGGTTGAAATACAAAGACATAAAGTCTGTTATCATGAAGCTGAGCTGTGATTTATTGTTGTGTTGGACGAGTGACTGATCTGTAGAACGAGGCTGTTTGGGAGCCACACAAGTCGAGTTCAGACACAAACACAGTCCTGTTGTTCTGAACAAACGACACTTCACATGTAAAGGAATCTGCAAAAGCTGGAGCTAAGACCAGAACTGAATACATGCACCCACATTTTTATATTTTTTACTTCCAACATGTAAAACTTTCTTGTGTTTCTTAAACTTACTTTAAGCAATCGTGTCCAAGTTTTCACCTGAAAATGTTACGAAAACGATTGCCTGATTTTTCCCACTCATTTTTTCCCCAGTATTGAAATCAAGTGTGTGAGAAGTTCAGTTATCAGGAGAGACTCAGAGTGGAACATCCTCCACATCGACAGGAGCCAGTTGAGGTGGTTCATCTGGTAAGGATGCTCCCTGGGCACCTCCTTAGGGAGGTGCTTCAGTCATGTACAACTGGGAGGAGACCCTGGGGACGATCCAGCACATGCTGGAGAGACTATGTCTCTCATTTGGCCTGGGAACACCTTGGGGTCCTCCCAGAAGATCTGGAAGATGTGGCTGTGGAAAGAGATGTCTGGGCCTCCCTGATCAAGCTGCTGCACCTAGACCTGACTTTGAACAAGAGGAAGATGATGGATGGATGGATGCTGAAATCTAACTATTTTAGGAGAAATATATATATATATATTATGATTACATTTTTATATAGTTTGTTTTTACGCCACTGAAAGCATCATGTGATAAGAAGGGTGAGGTTTAAAAGTTTTGATCCAACCCTGCGTCCTGCTCCCATGTGATACAGTGAAATCCAGTGAGATCTGTTGGGGATGGGTCACAGTTTAACATTTTCACAAGAGTACAAACTGTACATGGAGGTAGAGTTGCATTCGGGCCTAAAAAATCCGACCTGGCCCAAACCTATATCATTTTTTCTGAGCCGGACCTGAAACCAACCAATTAACTGTGATTACAGGCCCAACCCCCAAAAAACAAAACAAACAAAAAAAAACACTTTTTTTAATTAAGCTTTTACTGCTTTTGTAAGCAAATCTGTTTGACATGATTTAAAAACGTATTTTAAAGAAAGGAAGATATAAGATTTCCTGTTTATTAACAAGAGTCAGTGGATTTGTATAGTTATTATAACATTATAGTTATTATAACATTATAGTTATTATA